ACCTTTCAATTACCATAATAGAATTCCCCACCCTCTTAACAGTAACAATGGACACCAAGTTTCTAATACATAAACCTGGGGGACACACTTCAAGCTTCAGTGACTTTTGGGGGCACATAATCACTACACCAAGGAAATAAATCATACATGAAGAATGTAGCCTTTATAGTTAAATATATGAAAAATTTAAAATACTGGGATTCCTACTAGAGTGATAGAATCTGGACATTATAGTTACAGAGTATTCTGATGTAATTTATTTCATAAAATAGAATCTGTGATAAGATACATGTAGTCCCCCTTGAATTAATTTTCTATTTTTGTAAAACAAATTACCACAAATTTAGCAGCTTAAAACAACACTCACTGATTATCCCACAGTTTCTTTAGGTCAGAAGTCTGGACACAGTGTAGCTGGGTCCTCTCACCAGGCTGAAATCAAGGTGTCAGATGGAGCTGTGATATCTTCTGAGGCTTGGGTCCTCTTCCAAGCTCACTGATTGCTGGAAGAATTTATTACCTTGTAGCTATGTGACAGAGGTTCCTGTTTTCTTGTTGCCTGTTGGCCAGGGACCACTCTGAGCTCTAGAGGCTGCCTTCACTCCTTGGCATGTGCCCCATAGGTGGTTCATGGCATGGTAGTTTGTGGCTGATTGGTGGCCTGTAGGTGCACTTCTCTCTGACTTCAGTCTCTAATTTCAGGAAGGGCTCAGGCCCATTAAAGGCTCACCTGATGATTAGGTCAGGGCCATGCAGTCTCTTTTTGGTTCACTCAGAGTCAACTGATTAGTATCCTAATTACAGGAGTGATGTCCTGTCATATTCAGAGGTCATGCCCACATTCAAGGGGAGATTATACAGGTAGTGTATATGAGAGGTTGGAATCATGGGGACATTCTAAGAATTCTGCTACCATACCCCACTTACAAAATGACTTTGTTTCAAAAATGTGTCAAGTTGAGCTTTAGAAATTCAGGATGCATTTCTCCAATTAGTGTTATTTTATAAGGTGCAGCCCACAAAAATTCAATCTAACTCCTAATGTGAGTAGCAACGTTACCATAACTAAACTACTGTGTGTGTATATATATGCAATTACTTTTTAAAAAGATAATATACAGAAAACAGAGCATACAATATAACATTTTGTGTTTTATTTTGGGTCACAGCACCTCTTCTGTCCCCTTGTATCCTAACAGTGTAGACTCTTGCCCTTTTCAGCTGGTGGGTTGTATGAACTCCAGTGCTGAGCCACTCACTGGTAGTTGCTCCCATGACCTCTGACTCTTTACTGGGGTGAGAGAAATGGGTAGAGACTGCACAATTCATCCAGCCATGAGTTAGGTGCTGCTAAAGGAGTCCTGGAATCCAGAGAGTAATAAAACTTTACGTGACATGAGGATCTGATTAGGATGTGATGTAATTAGGGCTGGGGGAGTGAGAAAGGGGTAGGGGTGTGGAGGTTTTGGGGAAAGAGTTTTGGTGATCCCTTTCCTCTCTTTCCTCTTCCTTCTGTCGTCGGGTGGAATGGAAGAAAAGGAGACTTGCGAGAGTAGATAGCAAAGATGAATGTTGAGGATTAAAGGTGTGGGAGGGATTTTGTTTTGCCCTCTAACTTGTCATCCCCACTTCTGCCCTTTTAGGCATCACAAGCTTGTTGGGGCCCACTTAGGCAGCAGTGGGGGCAGGGAAGGAGTGGAATGCTGTTGGGGCTTCTGCATGTTCTTTCAGTTGGAAGAAAGAAATTGGGGTGATGGAATCAAGGACTGTCTCTCTAATACGTTTCACTAAGCAGTTCGTCACATTTGATAGATGCTTAGATAATCCTTACCAAACTTAAAACTCTACATTTGTACTCACTCAGATGACTTAAGTTCTTTGGCTGTGTCTGTCAGCTTAATGCCTAAAAGGGGAGAGTTTGGCATTTAAAAGACAAGCCAGTTAAGCAAAACTAGTGGGAACATGGGTTACGGAGCAGTTGCTAAAGTATCTGTCCTCTCTGTTTCTCCAAAATCTCTAAAGTCAAATACATTACAAAGAAGACCTCTGTCACAGATCATTTAGACCTGCCTTATTTTACATTTCTTTGTTTTGTCTTTAGGTTTGATGAGGCGGCACTCTCTATTCAGAAAGAAAAAAATATTTATAAGGAAATTGAGAATTATCCAACTTGTTATAAGGTATTCTTTGAAAGTGCTCATTTTTGGCTTTATATTAGGTAATTTTTCATAATGGTATAAATACATACCCAAGCTGTGGATGTTTGTATGTTTTCATAAAATAATGCTTTATGGGCCTCTATTTCTGACCAAGATAAGAGTAAACCCGCTATATAGCCCATCTATATAAAACTGCCAGATAGAATACAAAAAGCAACTACCCTCAAACTGAGAAGTAGGCAGACCATGGAGAGGAGTAAACACTTGGAGAAGCCACCAATAAAAGAGTGAGTTTCTTTTTTTTTTAATTTCCTCTTGTGGCATTGCCCTGAAAGAAGCCCCCAGTCATGGAGCTGGGCAGCACTGGCTACAGCAATTGAGAACTCCAAAAGAAACCCCTTCTTTCTAACCAGAGGAACTGGAAAAAGAGGTCCCATTGTTTTCTTCTCTTTTTTCTCTCTCGGCTTTGCTCTGAGGTTGAGCCCTAGCTGTGATGGTGGCTCCAGCAGATAAAACTGCAAAAGAACCCCGATTTCTTTGGCCAGAGGAACTGGGAAGAGGAGTTAAGAGAGCAAGGAGAAAATCCCAGAAGGGAGAGAGCAGGAAGAGGGAATCCCCTAAATATGTGTCTGCCCCACTCAAGTCTTGGGTTTACTCTTCAGCTATACATGCATGGGACAGGCCCAAAGGGAGAATGCAGCGTTCCGAGAACTGATATAAGATTTAAACCACTGTCCATACTGGCCCCCGGAGGCCTTGTGTGTGGTTCAGACCCTGAGCAGCACAGCAAAGGATTTACTAAGATCAGAAGTACCGCCCACCAAAAGTGAGACATCGCATGCAGTCTGAACCTAACTGGGATGATTGCCTGCTAAGACATCCACAGTTTCCTGAGGGTCATAGCAGAGTCTGTGCAGTGTAGCATTCACAGATATCCAGGATACAGCCCAGATTACTCAACATGCAAGAATCAGGAAAATATGCTAAGATAACTGGTGTGAACCCCAAGGTGACCCACATGTTGGGATTGTCACATAAAGACTTTGAAGCAGCTGTTACAACTGCTCCATGAGGTAAAGGTAAACACAATTGAAATGAATTTTCTTTTTATGGAAAAAAATTTTTTTTTATTGAAACTCTAAAAACAGGCTGGCTGGTTATTTCATTTGGTTTGAATGTGGTGCTGATAACACCAAGGTCAAAGTTCAAGATCCCCACACTGGCCAGCCACTAAAAAAAAAGAAACTCTAAAAATGTACTAAGTGGGAATTTTAGGACTGAAAAATGCAATATCTGAAATAAAATGCTGAATGGGCTTCATCTTATAATGGAGAAGACTCAGTGAACTTGATAGATCAATAAAAGTTATCTAAAGAATAGAGATATAAAAGATTGAAAAACACTTTATGAGCTCTTTTGCCAATAAGATTTTATCAGTCATATCCTTGATCTTACCACTGCTTGTGTTGTTGACTTAGAAATAGTATCATTGTTTCTGTTATCTAATCTTTTCAGTCATACATCTTTTTCCTAGAATTCCAAAGTATAATTGTAGAGTTATTGGTACCCCCTCCTCTTTTTATTTCCTTTTCAAGATTAAATGCGTGTAAATATTTGAAAGAAATTCTCTTTAAAACTTATGGTAGTTGTGTTCTAAGGCTTTGTGTTTAAAGTGTGGTCCCCAGCCTAGCAGTATCAGCATTACCTGGGAGCTTATCAGAAATGGCCCAATCTTAGGCTTGCCTCAGGCCTACTCAATCTAAGTCTTCATTTTAACAAAATCAGTGGGTGGTGTGTGTACATGTCAGAGTTTGAGAAGTATTGTTCTAGGATAGTTTCCCTCGAGTGTCCTGTGAAAGTTACTACAGAATTTATAAATCTCNCAGAAGTACCGCCCACCAAAAGTGAGACATCGCATGCAGTCTGAACCTAACTGGGATGATTACCTGCTAAGACATCCACAGTTTCCTGAGGGTCATAGCAGAGTCTGTGCAGTGTAGCATTCACAGATATCCAGGATACAGCCCAGATTACTCAACATGCAAGAATCAGGAAAATATGCTAAGATAACTGGTGTGAACCCCAAGGTGACCCACATGTTGGGATTGTCACATAAAGACTTTGAAGCAGCTGTTACAACTGCTCCATGAGGTAAAGGTAAACACAATTGAAATGAATTTTCTTTTTATGGAAAAAAAATTTTTTTTATTGAAACTCTAAAAACAGGCTGGCTGGTTATTTCATTTGGTTTGAATGTGGTGCTGATAACACCAAGGTCAAAGTTCAAGATCCCCACACTGGCCAGCCACTAAAAAAAAAGAAACTCTAAAAATGTACTAAGTGGGAATTTTAGGACTGAAAAATGCAATATCTGAAATAAAATGCTGAATGGGCTTCATCTTATAATGGAGAAGACTCAGTGAACTTGATAGATCAATAAAAGTTATCTAAAGAATAGAGATATAAAAGATTGAAAAACACTTTATGAGCTCTTTTGCCAATAAGATTTTATCAGTCATATCCTTGATCTTACCACTGCTTGTGTTGTTGACTTAGAAATAGTATCATTGTTTCTGTTATCTAATCTTTTCAGTCATACATCTTTTTCCTAGAATTCCAAAGTATAATTGTAGAGTTATTGGTACCCCCTCCTCTTTTTATTTCCTTTTCAAGATTAAATGCGTGTAAATATTTGAAAGAAATTCTCTTTAAAACTTACGGTAGTTGTGTCCTAAGGCTTTGTGTTTAAAGTGTGGTCCCCAGCCTAGCAGTATCAGCATTACCTGGGAGCTTATCAGAAATGGCCCAATCCTAGGCTTGCCTCAGGCCTACTCAATCTAAGTCTTCATTTTAACAAAATCAGTGGGTGGTGTGTGGTAGTTGTGTTCTAAGGCTTTGTGTTTAAAGTGTGGTCCCCAGCCTAGCAGTATCAGCATTACCTGGGAGCTTATCAGAAATGGCCCAATCTTAGGCTTGCCTCAGGCCTACTCAATCTAAGTCTTCATTTTAACAAAATCAGTGGGTGGTGTGTGTACATGTCAGAGTTTGAGAAGTATTGTTCTAGGATAGTTTCCCTCGAGTGTCCTGTGAAAGTTACTACAGAATTTATAAATCTCTATATAAACCAAGACTCTGAAAGTTAAAGTCCAGGTGTTTTTAATACTGTCAGGAAATTGACTTGATTAAATAGTATAAGTTTGACCATAATCACCTCTCTTGTTTTAGAAAACAATCGCTCAAGTCTTAGTTCATCTCCACAGAAATGACTACGTGGCTGCAGAAAGATGTGTCCGGGAGAGCTACAGGTAAGACGTTGCCTGGGCTGTCGTGACTTGCAACGTTAACATTGCTGTTTCTAAGATTGCTGCTTAGAGACGTATTCCTGGCCGTGAAGTGTTCTTTTTAAATCTTCGTAGTGAAAGGAGCACTCGATCACCATTTCAGCTTTTACAGTAGGATTTTTACAAGTTGTTTGTCTTTCCTGTTTTTATTTCGGGGACCTCCATGAGAATAAATGGCTTTAGTCATTTTGCTGTATTTGCCTTCTAAGAAAAAAAGAAAAGTTCTCAGATTGTTGCAGGAAGATAAAAATGAGGGATTTTCTTGATAGGGGTGTTTAAAATGAGCAGCTTTAGTCTCGACACTATTAACATCTTGGGCTGGATAATTCTTTGTGGAGGGGGCCTGTCCTGTGCACTGCGGGATGTTTAGCAGCATCCCCAGTCTATCCACTAGATGCCAGTAGCATCCCCTCACTTAGAACAGTCAAGATGCCTTCAAACATCGCCAGTTGTCTGCCGGGGGCAAAATCATCCCTGGCTGAGAAGAATTCTTTTAAGGAAAAGGTGAAGAAGTACAATTTCTGTTTACTGTAGCATACCAGGGTTCAACGGCAGTGAAGATTGTGCTGCACTTGAACAGCTTCTTGAAGGATATGACCAGCAAGATCAAGATCAGGTGTCAGAGGTCTGCAACTCGCCACTTTTCAAGTACATGGACAATGATGTAAGTGAGCCTGTGTGGTTAGCTTTCTTCTTTCCTCTTGAAAGGGAGAGGCTTCGAGTGAGATTATTTTTTTCCCATGGACTTGTGAGCTTTTGTGCGTCTTTTTTTTCACCTTAAACTACAACTTAAAAACTAACCACTTCCATTGCACTTCACCATAGATTTAGGTAATTGGATGTCAGCCGTGTGGGTTGCAGCCATTTACTTATCCATCTAATTGTGCTGAACACATGCTTGTGTTTAAATTCAGTCTCATCTCTTAGCTTCTCCCTCTATCCATGTCCTTTATGGGTTGCTTAGTTTATCAGATTTCTCTCAGGCTCACTGTCTAAAGGGGCACATCATGTAGTGGCCTTTGTAACTCAACAGACCCGTGAGAATCCCACTTCTGTGACAGCTGCCTGTGTGATGCAGGTTATTGATTAGCTATTTCTAAGCTTCAGTTAACTCATCTATAAAAGAGCTACTAGTACCTATCTCGTTGGACTGCTGTGAAGAACGTTAGTCAGCGTGCGAGAAGTAGCCTCATAAGACTATAACCATAACTATAATCATGACTATAACCAAGACTATAGCTATCCGTTTCTATTTTTCTTATTTCTTCTTCAGTAGATTTGTGAGCACCTGTTTATTTGGTCATATGACCTTAGAGTCTCATCATAGTATCAGATCAGCTGAAGAACTTCAATTTTTTTTATAATGATGTATGTAGAGAAACCAGTTTTTTTTCTAGATAAATTCTTACATAGACTTTTGTGAATTTGTATATATTTTAAAAAATTATCCCTAGCTTTTATACTCTTTATTCAACAGACCATTATTTCATAGGTACTACAGTATTACTTAATTCAGTATGTCCAGATTATCTCAAATTCCCATGTGTGGCATTATAGTTGATACTTTTATTAGTTGTGTACCTATCACATCATGGTCACAAGCTGTCTGACAACAGAGCATTGTTGTGTTTTGTTTTTCCACCTAAATGGTAGTATTGGTGTTCATGAGGGTAGAGATCTAGGCTTTGTGTTTTTATAGCTACGTAAAACATATTGGCAATCTAGCTATCCAGCCCTTAAGTTGTTTTATTGTTGACAGTATGCAAAGCTGGGCCTGAGTTTGGTGGTTCCGGGAGGCGGAATCAAGAAGAAATCACCTGCAACACCGCAGGCAAAGCCTGATGGCGTCATCACTACAGCTGCTGATGAAGAGGAAGATGAATATTCAGGAGGACTGTGCTAGTATTTTGCTTGCAGAAAAGAAAGGGAAAATCCTCATGCCGTTTCATGGATTTGGGACTTGTTTAAGGTTATCCATACTTCCTTGCAGTTATGATTCTGAATTCTTTTTTTTTTTTTTTTTTTTTTCCTTTTTGTCTTTTTTCGTGTCCGACAACGGATCGCAACCCTCAGTGTCGCGCCCGTACCGGACCGGGACCGGCAACGGGATCGCAACCCTCAGTGCTGCGCCCGCACCTCGCTCAGCCAGTGAGCGGGAACCGGTCTGTATGTGGGATCCGAACCCTCGGCGCACTGTAGCAGTGCGCCACTGGGCCGGCCCCATGATTCTGAATTCTAAAGAAGAATTTTTAGTTGCCACTTCCCCAAATCACCCATTGTGTATCTACTCCCTGTGAAGCTTATTTTTTTCTCTTTCCATGGTAAGAGCTTTTCTAGGACACCAGCAGAATTAACAGAAAATGTACTGTCACATTTTAATGCAGTTGATTTTAAAATTTGCAGGCCAAATTCTAGACAAATTATGTTCTAGAAGGGGGAATAGGCATAGATGTTATTTTTCTCAGGCTCTTGTAATTTATTGTTAGATAATTTTCTTTCTTTGCATTTTATTTAATGCTGCTAAAAGTGAAGTTTACTGGGTAAAAAAAAAAAAATTTAAAACTTTATTTTGTTTTGGAAAGGAAATTTATCCCCCATTGAAATTATTAAGTGTGTTCAATAAGTAATAATTATTAATTATTGGGACAGAAAGCTGTTTTGATCCTTAAAATATTATTTAGCCCAATAAAAGATTCATTTAAGCAATTGAACTCTTATATGTGAGTTTGCAAAGTTTTGAAGGTAGTACATTAAAATGGTTCTGTAAATGTCTTCAGTGCTCTCTTAACTATGGGTGTTTCTTCCATCTAGAAAATACACAGTGACTATCTCCAAACCTAGTTGGTTTTTGACCAAATGGTAGCTAATGAAGACTTTTTTTATTCCTTCTAAAAAAAGAGGTAATGTTTCCATCTATCTAGTACATATACATTTCTTCCCTCCAAAATAATTTCTGATGTATTTAGAGTTGCAGCTAGACCATAACTTAACATGGGAAATGTTGTATCCTACAAAAATTTAGCTGAAAGGGAAGAATTGTTTTAGAAAGACATACATTTAAAACACTGTGCTGTCAGTATTTTAACCATTCATAGTTATTTCCTAAAGTGTTATTTCTGAAGGATTCCTTTTTCACCCTCTGTGGCTTAGACCCATTTTATATCTGTTCATTGGAAAGAGGCTACAAACACCAGCAGTGTGCATTCTGCAGGTACATGCTACCCAGAGTAGTTTCCTATTTATTTGTGCCCTCTCTCTCTCTCTTTTACTCTTATATCTTGTTTGAGTATGTATGCTTAGTTTTAGACTTCCTGAAAACACTAAGTAGATATCTTAAGTGATTTTAGTCACAGTTCTGCAGAGAGCTTAGACAGAATAACATCCATTTTTGGCAGGTGTGCTTGGTGGGTGGGTGTTAGTAGGTCTGATACAAAATACTAATAAATTTAATGTTTTGTAGATATCTTAAGTGATTTTAGTCACAGTTCTGCAGAGAGCTTAGACAGAATAACATCCATTTTTGGCACGTGTGCTTGGTGGGTGGGTGTTAGTAGGTCTGATACAAAATACTAATAAATTTAATGTTTTGATTCCTTGTTACCTGCATAGTTGTGCAAGTAGCAGCTCAGTTTCATTAGTTGTTTGAGGTGTGAACCAAGAGCAATCTGAATAAAGCTATATTTAGGCACTTGCATTTAAAGACATTAATGTTTCAAAGATCCCATCATTGCCCTTTAGATACAATCAGAAACTTGCTAAGTCTTATATTAATGTTCATTTGAGCTAATTAGTAATCTGTTTAAACAGAATTGGCAGTACTTTAAAGATATTTAATACTGTCTGTTTATAGACCTTATTACTCAATATAACCGTGGGAAAATTTTTTTTTAGTTTTACTCCTCTTACTGAAAAAAGAAACAAAGAGGAGTGACTGTGCATTGTGCAGCAGCAGTGCAGCTGAGCTTTGAACAACAAAAGGCTTTGTACAAGTGTAACCTCCCTGACACCCTCCCTGCCCACATGTGAGAATGAATATGTGGGACCTGTGGATATTTCTTTGATGTCAAGGTTAGTCTGTGTGGTGTCTAGTAAAGAACATTTGTTCCACATTTATACATTTTATTTTTCCACTTACGTAAGTCTTTTATCCTGGCACTGTAGTCAGAAGTGGAAAACTTGGTGTTTACAATAAGATAAGTTGTTTTCCAGAACTCTAATGTCACTTTCACCAGAGTGAAAGTCTCTGCATGAATATGCTCAGAATCTAATATTCAGTGTTTTATTATATTGCAAGTGAAGTCAGTCTACAAAAATCTATTTAATATATTGAATTTATTTGTACATATGCAGAGTATGATATTTATGTATGGAATCTGTGCTTTATTCCTATTTTTTCCAGCTCTTTAAATATGTTGTTATGGAAATGCAGATTATTGCTCCTATAGAAAGATAATTATAAAATAAAGCCTGAAACTATATAAATATGATTATTCTTTCTATTATTTATTTTGTTTTGCTTGTTAGTTTCCTTTTCTCCAAGGACACATTCTCTTAGTCATATGATTTCAACTCTATTTTACAAGAACAGTATTTTGCTGGCTATCAGTTATATTTTCTGCTCTTTGGGATTCAGGTCCATTTGGGAATTACTTTAAACTATTTGAGCTTTTAAAAATACCAGTCATACAGTTATTGTAATACTACTGTAAAACCTACTATCTGGTGAGGTGGAAGATTTAACACATCTCCTAAGAGAAAATCTCCATTGGGTTAAGTGAAGTAAAACCGTATGGTTAGAGGCTAAGAAAACTAATGTGAAATGGCAGTGTTTTGCAGTTATTCATAATTAGCACCTTAATTACTAGTGGGTTAACCTACAATTAATTAGACATTTATTGAAGCTTACTATGTAATATTCCTATCTTTCATACGATGGAAATTGATAATATAATTTGATACCTGGATTTAGCAGACGCTGGAGTAAGAAAGAATCCAGGAGAAGTGGCTCTTGGACATAACGCAATTTTGTATTTCTTCCAGGACACCCTTGGAGTGTTCTGAGTGTGCTTTACGGTCACTGTGGTATCTGTAGCAGTATGATGAGGTAGCCGGGAAGGATACACAGAATCCATCTCCCTCTGCCCCTCCCCCCATTGTTTTCATTAGGCTAGTACCAATAAAAGGCTTGATATTGACTTTAATTTGATCACTTAAATTTAAGGGCATTAAAAATGTCTTGAAAGAAAGACTCAGGCAAACATTGATTTTGAGAAAGGAGAGCAAACCTTCCATTTGATTGTTTCAACAGTCAAGAGAACTTTGTGCATAGAAAGAACTTACATGGCTTTTAATTAATATTCAAAGACATTGAATAAAATTCCTTATAATTAGCTCCACTTACAAACTTGGTTAATTAAATCTCCATGTTACTGAGCAAGGGCTCACTGCCCAATACACACAGAAGCCATGGCACCATGGCACTGGTTTTCAAGAAAAGAAAACGGCTTTATATCACATGGTCAACCTGTGTGAAGACAGGAGGGAAGGTGCCTCAAACCTGTCTCCCCTGTCCAGGCGCTGTGCAGGCTCTGCGGGGCATTAGGCAAACCTGATGGGCTAGCTCCGAGTCAGGCCATATATGATAATGAGGTAAAACTGATTCTGTCTCCCCTGTCCAGGCGCTGTGCAGGCTCTGCGGGGCGTTAGGCAAACCTGATGGGCTAGCTCCGAGTCAGGCCATATATGATAATGAGGTAAAACTGATTGGCTGGCTCTGAATCAGGCCACGTGACCGGGTGAAGTGGATTGGCTAACTCCAAGTCAGACTGTCTGTGGTGACGACACTTCTGCATGCCGGCTCTTCCTTGCTGAAGGACCTCTCATTCCGCAAGTGCTCTGGCGCTTCACCTTCCAGCTTTTGGGTTCCACAGAGGGAAGATTTTTGGTTTCTGCTTAGGTCATCTGGAGGGTAAGGTCCTTGACTCTGTATTCTCAGCTTACATCCTGCAAGACAGCTTGCAAAACAACTTGAGATAGGGAAAAGAAGCCAGTTTCAACTAATTTTAGGCAGTTTTGTCCGTAGAGTTTAAGGCTTAAGCATTTTATATTACCTTTGTAGATTTTTATATCTGATTTTCCTAAATTTTTCAAGGGGCCTTATTTGGGCAGCCTTAAACCTTAACTTTCAAAATCTTTGTAAGCACTTAACTATTGTAACGCTAATAAATCCAACTTACACAGACGGTAAATTGAGCTTTTAAATTTTAAAGTACTGCTTGTGAACTTAAATTCTCAACCACAAACAATTTAAAATGAAAATCAAAAGGTTAATGTGTCTGATTCTGTTAAATGTTTCAAGAACCATAAATAAAAACATGCACAGATTATCACAATGACTATAAAGCTCATTCCCAAACTAGAAAGTATTATCACTATTATCACTAAGGTTGTCTTACTTTATCTATAGGAAATACTTTTTATACCTTCCCTGGGATGTCATTTAGTTTAGCCAGTTAAGGGGAACAAATTTATCATTTTAGGAGGCGCAAAATGCCATTTGGATCCTGATACAGTCAGAGTTCAGAGACTAGGATATGTGCTGTGGGTGCTAACCACTTGCAGTATGATTCTAACACTCAGGGGAGCAGACACGGCCTTTTTTGACTTCCATTTTTGTACTATGTCAATGGGGGACACCAAGGCTGTATCTTTCAACTTGGAATTAAGTTAAGCAGTGGACCATGGCATTTAAAAATCCTCATCCTTAGGCAGGTTTTTTTTTTTTTTTTTTTAACCCATTTCAACATTCTGTAGTAGGATTTGGATAGAATTCTACACCTAGGTTGAAGATAAAGTCTTTCCCTACTTGATTTGGAGTGAAGCATATATTACTCAGTTGGTTTCTGCATCTTTTCATGTTTCATGGATTTTAGGCCATGATTCAGCAGCGATACTGATAAACTCACAATTCAGTAGGCATTATACTGATAAACTTAATGAAACAGGTACCACTGTAGATAATGTGGTCTGGATTAC